ACCTCTAAATTGGTGGGGCAACAATGGACCCATCTAAAAGGCTACTTTGCTCAGCCTTCCCTGCCAGAAAAAGTAGCCAATGGAATGCAAGCAGAAGTGATTGGGGGAACTCCTGGCATAGATCTTTAAAGTGGCTTACACAGCTGGAAGGTGGCTTTTTAGTGCTCCCTTACCCCTTCTTGCCTAGAACCCAGATATGATGAGCACAGCTGCAGCAGCCATAGGAGAACTCGAGGGTGAAAGCCAATGGAAATGACCCTTAAAACAGAAAGACAGTATGTGGGCCTACACAGCCTGGACTGCGTGTCTTTAGACTTTTTTAAGTGAGAGAGAGGGAAGAGGATAACTCAAAGTCTTCGTTGCCAGCAGCCCCGCATCAGCCCAAGCTGATTGGGTGACCTGGGAACATTACTAATTAAGCAATGAGCCTGAGTTTCATCTTTTGTAAACCCATGGGGTCCTGTTAGATCACTCCTCCATTTCTAAATCTCTCCAATTTTAAGACTGTATGAGTGCACAAGTACAAAATCCCTAGGCTTGTCTGATCTCTATTCTACCTTGGCCTTCTGGGCAATGAGAAAGCATGTACATCCTTAGGAAGAAGTCAAACTGATTATGAACATAGAATTACCACCTGACCCAGCAATTCTACTCTGAGGTATGTATCCAGTAGAAATAAAAGTATACATGTATACATACATACATACACGAAAAGACTTACAATTGGATGTTCATAGCAGGCATTATTCTTAATATCTAAAAAGTGGGAAAAAACTAAATGCCCATTAATTGATGAATAAACAAAATGTGGTCTATGCATAGCCCATGGACACAGACAATAGTGTGGGGAAAGCCAAGGGAGGTGGGTGGGGGCTTGGTAGAGGTGAGCAAAGGTGGGGGGAATGGGGGACATCTGCAATAGTGTCAACAATAAAAAATTAAATTAAAAAATGTGGTGTATGCATACAATAGACTACTATCTATCCATAAAAAGGCATGAAGACTGAGACATGCTGTAATATGGATGAACCTTGAAAAAAACTATGCTAAGTATAAAAAGGCAGATGCAAAAGACCACATATTATATTACTTCATTTATGTGAAATGTCCCAAATAGGCAAATCTATAGAGACAGAAGGAGTAGTGGTTGCCAGGGGCGGGAAGGAGAGGGGGATGGTGAGGAGCTGCCCATGGATATAGGTTTTTTTTGGGGGTGATGTGCTCTGGAATTACATAGTGGTGACGGTTGCACAAGCTGTGAATATACTAAAACCCACAGACCTGTACGCTTTTAGGTGGTGAATTACATGGCACCTGAATTATATCTCTGTTTTAAAAGAAGTGATTTGAAGCATTTTGATTGAAGTGGACAGCACCAAGACAAGTGCTGTCCTGGTAGGTGTTGACAAGGGTGTCTTAAGAAAAACACGAGGAGTAGGGGACTGGGGGGAAGCCTCTAAGTAAAGGTACAAGTGAGTCTGTTTTCAAGTGAGTGACTCAACTCTGAGGCACATTTTTAAAAGCATGACCTCAAGCTGAATATCTTACACATTGGGGAAAAATTGGCATTATAATACTTATCAACTAACCTTGTCTAGTATTCAAATTACATCTTAACTAAAGTGCGGGTGTGTACAAGGTTAGACTCCAAAGAATTTCCATTAATTTCCTACTCACTTTCATAATAACTACCTGCTGACAATATTCTTCTTGCCCTGGTTGCATTGGGACACGGTGTGAGTGGTGTTTTACAACCAGGAAATTCTGTCAGTGACCTCAACAGAGACAAAGGCTTGGCATTCATCTGTGTTCAACCCATACAGGGAGGTTGAGTTGTGGACCAACCAAGGACAACTTTGGGTTTTTCCTTGAAACCAGAAAATTTCTTTCGCCTAACTTCATAATCCTCATGCGGCCTTGTATAAAATAGGACCTGAGACATGCAGCTGTGGAGAAAAGAGCATGGGGTCCAAGGTCTTCTTTGTGCAGAAAGAGTTCTCTGATCTTAGAAGACTGTCTCTGTCCCTCAGCCTCCTTATGATAAAATACGGCAGTCAAATTAGATTTCTTAGAGTTATTTTTAGTTCAAGTTTCTATTAATCTGGCACACTGTTAGTCTTAGATCTTCTCTGGCTGATGGTAGAGGTGTGGGCAAATTTGGAGCACATTAGGGTACCCATTCCTTCTCAGACTTTTGGGATGACCTCAGCATGACTCCAACTCCCTTCCTCAATCCTCTTCTGTATCCTGCATCACATCACATCCCAGTGGGTCTTGTAAGTCGAGTACTGTGCTCAGAAGTGACTATTCTCCTGATGGCACACCAGGGAGAGATCAAACAGTTCCTTTGCAGAGTGTTGAAAAAACACAAAACCACCACCCACAAATCCCGTCACACAATGGTAATGTAACAAAGGAAGCTAACAGAAAAGGCATTTCTTAATTCAGGCTAGTCTGTACATTTTCCTGCTTTTGAACTATTTTCCTGAGAGTGTATTTCACATGCATATTGATATGATACAAGTGTGTTTTCAAGCTTTGCTCCAGAGCATCTGCTTGGCTGAACAGTGTGGCGCCCTCTTCAGGTCACGCCTGAGCACTAGCCATGTGTGGTCTTGCGTACACTGGCAGGCTAGCCGGCTGGCCTGCTGCTGCCTGCTATCCCTTTCTCACAAGGTGGGAAAGAGAAGCACCATGCTTACAGTGTGCCCGGGCACTGGAAGCAATCCCGCTCTTCTCCAAAGTGAATGGTCATGTGTCTGACAGGTTGTGGGAATGCGCGGCCAAGGATAGATCCAGGGGCCCTGGCAGCTGACCCATGTCTTCAGGACATTTAAAACCAATGTCACCCTTCAATTAGGCGGTTGGAAGCTTTACACTGGGCTCCTGCCAGTTCACTGTTAAATGTGGAACACAAGCAGAAGCCACAGCTCCTGACCTGCTTGGCCCTCGGCCTAGTGGTTGTGATGTACACATGGAAAGTGAACTGCTGCTCTTTTTCATTGATGGGAGCCATTTGGTAGAATTAACTTTTCATACTATTTATGAATGATATTACTCACTTTTCTTAGGAACTCTTTTCAAATATACATCAGTTTCTAATATGGAAATCCCTATCTACCCTTCACCTTGTCTTTTTTTAACACTTAGGTAGAAGTAGAAAAACCATGTAGAATGAAATAAATACAGGGTAAGATTTAAAGTAGTATATTTTTTTCTAATTTTGAATTTTCTAAAAATTAGAAAAAGCATAAACCTAGTTTTCTTTCTTCCTTTTGGGGTACATAAATAAATTTTGTAAGTTTGTAACTTACACTCCACTTCTTTTCCTAAGCGAGACACTGACTAACCCAGATTAAGGCAGTGCACTGGCACCAGGTGACAAAGCATAATTTCTCCCGTGGAAGCAGATGATCTTAACTGGAAGTCACTTGTTGAAATCCCACTGCTTCATTAGTGGTTGAAAACCCAAACCCCAGCTCTGCATGATAAGAATGTAATAAACCGTAAAGATTATGGCTTGCCTATTTAAAGTAAAATTCTCCATTGATGCAGAATTCACTTTCATATAAATTCAAATGTTGTTAACTTAAATACAAATAGTTTGCTATGGAGTATAAACATGATTGCTGGAAAGAAAAGTTGCTTGAGAATTTTAGTGTATTAACTATTTATAAATCCATGGCTATTCCTAAGTACAGGTCATTTCAGCAACCTAAAAAGGCATAGCATCACCTACCTTTTGACAAAAAATCTACTTGGCAAAATTTATAAAACAGCTATTCTCATATACACCATCTTATACACACAAAATTATTCATTGTGGCACTATAAGAAAAGCATAAACAATCTACATGTCCATTGATAGAAATTGGTTAAATAAAATATGGTACAACTACATAATGGATACTATGCATCCATTTAAAGGAGAGAAGGTCTCTGTGTTTTAAAGATATTCTATTTAGTAAAAAAAAAAAAAGAGGCAGCAGAACAGTGTGTTAATGTCATAATGTGTGTGACAAAAAAGGGGGTGGGGGGAGTGAGGGAATCTACATAGGTTTGAAGTATATGGACTATTTCTGCAGGGATGCAAGAAAGATAACAATGCTAAGAATGGTCGCCCTCCAGGGAAGAAACTATTCCAAAAGACACAGAAGGAAGAGATTTGCTTTGCACTTTCTATCCTTTATAATTTTGTGATGTGTTTGAAAGGAAATAGAGGTATAGTAGGATTTCTACATGAAAATACCCACATTTAGTGTGCTTTCAGGGAGGCATCCTTTCAATGAATTCAATCATTATTTAAAGGCATTCTGACACTTGGATTGATGTCCCATCTTAAGCTGGGTTCGACGATGATTGGTTCAATTTACCACTGAAAGACTAAATTCATTTGAACTTTTACCTATCCTTTCCCTTTCCTAAAGGAAGAATCTATAATAATAAAAGGGTAATATGCTAATTAGACCAGACATCATTCTGAACATCCTTTCTGACCCAGCTGGGAGGAGGGAAGCAGCCTGGGGGAGGAGGGAAGCAGCCTGGGTCCTGAGGGCTTGACAGCAGCCAGAGGAGGGAAGGAAGCACGGGTGCAGGTGCCAGAGGGAAGCAGCCAGGGGAAGGAAGGCCTATTCTTGAACGAATTTTTGTGCATCGGACCTCTAGTTTAATATAATGTGTTCTGAAAGTTACATTTAAGTTGATAATAAAGAACTCAATAAAGAGGAGACAGAAAAGAGGACTATTAGGACACAAACGTTTATGTGATTTTAGCCATTACAGATAGTTCAGAAATATCTCAAATGTTACATTGATGTTGTCGTGTTACAAAAAGAAAACAAACAAAAGAACAGGCAACAGTGAAGAGCACCAGAGAGTCAGCGCACACACCTAGAGCAGACCATGCTTCTTTCCTTCAACTGCAACGATATGTTCCCCAGGAACCCTCCCTCCCCCTTGCTTTCCTTTTCAACTCTCCCCAACCTGAATTAAACTGCAAACTTAAGCCTCGTCCTCCCCCTCCTCCTCCTCGAACTCGCCCTGCTCATCAGCCGTGGCGTCCTGGTACTGCTGGTACTCGGACACCAGGTCGTTCATGTTGCTCTCAGCCTCGGTGAACTCCATCTCGTCCATGCCCTCGCCCGTGTACCAGTGCAGGAAGGCCTTGCGCCGGAACATGGCCGTGAACTGCTCCGAGATGCGCTTGAACAGCTCCTGGATGGCCGTGCTGTTGCCGATGAAGGTGGAGGACATCTTCAGCCCCCGGGGTGGGATGTCGCACACGGCCACCTTCACGTTGTTGGGGATCCACTCCACGAAGTAGCTGCTGTTCTTGCTCTGAATGGCCAGCATCTGCTCATCCACCTCCTTCCTGGACCTGGGGCCATGGTGGCGGACACCAGGTGGTTGAGGTCCCCGTACGTGGGCGTGGTCAGTTTCAGGGTGCGGAAGCAGATGTCGTACAGGGCCTCGTTGTCGATGCAGTAGGTCTCATCTGTGTTCTCCACCAGCTGGTGCACGGACAGCGTGGCGTTGTAGGGCTCCACCACCGTGTCCGACACCTTGGGCGAGGGCATCACGCTGAAGGTGTTCATGATGCGGTCTGGGTACTCCTCCCGGATCTTGCTGATGAGCAGCGTGCCCATCCCTGACCCGGTGCCACCCCCCAGCGAGTGGGTCAGCTGGAAGCCCTGCAGACAGTCACAGCTTTCTGACTCCTTCCTCACCACGTCCAGGACTGAGTCTACCAGTTCGGCGCCCTCCGTGTAGTGGCCCTTTGCCCAGTTGTTCCCGGCCCCGCTCTGGCCTGCCAGAGAGAAAGACATTTCACAAGTCACTGAGGGTTGCATTTAAATTTACCTTAAACCCCTTAATCAATGAGTCAGTGTTCAGATAAGACTAATTTAGGTTATCACTAAAATGTTCAGACATTAAAATATTTGGTCATGGATGTAATTATAAATAAGGAAAGCTAGGAATACCTGGCTATTGGAGGGCAAATTCATTTTAGCTTAAATTAAGATTGAATCAGCACACAACTGGATGTTCTTCATACTTTCCCCTAGGCAGTCACACCCCTCAGTGCTGAGCTGTCTGGTGTAAAATGAGCCTCCCCTGCCATCAGCCATACCACTTACTCACCAAACACGAAGTTGTCGGGCCTGAAGATCTGGCCGAATGGTCCAGACCTGACGGAGTCCATCGTGCCCGGCTCCAGGTCCACCAGGATGGCCCGAGGTACGTACTTGTTACCTGCGGGGAGGAAGAGCTGGACTTAGACCTGCCCACAGAGAGCTCTGAAGAGAAGGGCTCGGTACCAGTTTCTTTTTTGCAGGTACTGCTGATGGCCCCCAAACAAAGGCAGGCACAAGACCCACCCAATTCTCAGCCGGTTCATTGAATGAACCGGGAAGCTCACTGAAATACCACAAAGGGTGTGAATTCAAAATCCTTTAGGCCACCTTCCCTTAGAGCCAAACTCCCAGGGTCAAGCCCCTGGAAAAAGAGGGGGTAAAGAGCTAGAGGTGGGGGAAGTAATGCAATTACCAGTGGCTTCATTGTAGTACACGTTGATTCTCTCCAGCTGCAAATCGCTGTCTCCATGGTAACTGCCAGTGGGGTCGATCCCATGCTCATCGCTGATGACCTCCCAAAACTGAGGCACAGTAAAAGGTTGCACTTATCCACGCCCAACCCTCAGAGTGGCCAAGACTTACAACGAATAGTACCCCCGACTCAGTTCTGACAACACAACCTTTCAGGGGCTCTAGGACTGGGTGGCCCCCACAGCCGCAGGATTGTATTGTGTAAGGGCAAAATGTTGAAATTGGGCGTTTCCCCGACGAGTAGAAGGGTATTTGGGGGGAGGGGAGGGGCCAGCAACCGCACCGCCTGCACCTTCCGCGCCCAGGGTCACAGCTGCCTGCCGGCGCCGGAGGGAGGCGGGCGCTCAGGGACTGTAGCCGGCGCGTAGGGGGTGGGCGGGGAAACGGCGACCGAAGGGACAAGAAGGAGGATGGTTTTCGATTCAAAGCACGTCCTGAGACCTCAAGACAATTGCTCTCCTCCCCTCCCCCCGCAGCTCGACTGGGATTCCAGCGAGTAAAATCAATTCTCCCTGCGTCCCGGTGCCTCCCGCAAACCCGCTCGCACAGCCTCCCAGACAGCCCGGCGCCTTTTCAAGGTGCGAGTTCCTGGCTAAATGAAGAGCAAGGAGAAAGCGGAGTGTCCAGGATTCTAAACGAGTTACAGAAAAATGAAAGAGAGGTTCCCCAACCCCCCTCACGAAAGTCCACGCCCCACTCCGCTGCACAAAGCACCCGGGAAGGTCTGTGCTTGGAGAGCCCTGGGCCTGCTCAGGATGCGGTCGGCACCCAGGAGCCCCAAAGAGCTTTAGGCCCGGGTCCTCGCCCCCTCCCAGCCCAGCCACCTTGGCGCCGATCTGGTTGCCGCATTGGCCCGCCTGGATGTGCACGATCTCACGCATGATGCTCGCTAGCTTCTTCTGGCCCCGGTCGGCGTCTGGTCCGTCTGTTCGTCCTCCCTTACACACCCACTGCGGGGTCACAGGGAAAGCGCAGGGGAACCGACCGGCCGAGAGCGCCGGCCCAGCGGGCTAGGC